TATCAATCTTAGTGTCATCTTAGAATATTATTATTAATTTCGGTTTTTTACCGTTATAAATAAGAAAATTATAACAATAATTTTTTTTATGCAATTTAGTTTTTTGATTATCATTGATCATTATCTTGATCATAATATGTTTTAAACTTTAAAGCAGTTTGAAAAAATAAATATTGTGAAATATTGAAATATTGTGTGAAATCGACCAAATTAAAGCATATTAAGTTTTTGATTTTGTAATAATAAAAGTTATATTATCAACCCACGAATCACATAAATGAACAGTTTAAAAAATATGATTAAAAAATTGAAAAATATGATTTTTAAAAACCGGTTTTGACCGGTTACCGATCACAAAAAAACCTTATCATCGGCTTTTAAACGATGAACGGTTATTATAGTTTTTGAAATATTCTTAAAGAAATGGTTACCGGTTACCATAATATTAAAATTAAACGATAACCGGTTACCGGGTTTAAAAAATTTTCGGCTCCTACCGATTACTAACTTTATTAGGAATGGTTTAAAGCCCTGATTTAAGTAATTAAAATTTAGAAACATTAAATCTAACAATAATTGAAAGTCTTGCGATAGTAGAAAATGTGGAAATCAAATTAAATAAAACTCAAGGAGAATCTAGAGTTATAATAAAAAATAAATTAAACTACGTACTCGGTAATAATGTTCGTTTACAAAAAAATTAAAACTACTATAGATATTCTTATGAATTAAAATGAAAATACATCAAATGATTATGAAGTAACCAGTACTCGACTAGGTAAAATTAAAGAAGGGGGACTCTATTTACTTTAAAAAAAAGAACATCCCCAAAACTTGCTGAGCGTTATGATTATAGTATAACAATAGTAGGGAGACGCTAAAATTTTTGAAAATTAGTTGGGGTACTCCGTCCCCCTGCGTCCCCCCTCAAGTTGAGCACTGGAAGTAACACTATCTGACATATGTGGAATGAAATAAGCCCCATTAACCTCGGTCAACGTTGAATGCACTTTCAGTCGCTTCGAGTCGACTTTGAAACCTAACCACCGCACATTAAAATTTGAAAATCTTCAAAGGTACGTCGAATCCAATTTTTTTATTACATATTTTGGAAAAAATAAGAACATAAATATCAACATACTTAAACTTTTTTATTACATAAAAATTCACGCCCTACTCATGAGTCTCAACAAAAGCAATATGTAAATAATTAAGTATGAGTACATTCCACGTTTCACTCAAAATCTATAACCAATTTTGTTATTTTATATTCATCGTCTGGGGAATAATTAATCATCTTAGGCTCTGCCAAAAATAATGCCGGAAAATCAATTGTACCTAATACATATTGATTGAATAAAATTGTTTATAAGTTTAACGAGTTTCGATACCAATTTAAATGCTAATCTAAAAGATCCAATGCAACCCGATAACCCCGCTTTTACATCTGAGCCTTTATTATGATGCATTTACTACATTTCTAAACTTATATCCTTTCTATTATCAAAGTTTCACTTGTATAAAACACGTTTTATATTTTAGTAGACTAAAAGGCATTCGATGTACGGGACAATCAAATAAACAAGTTTAAAATGTAATTCGTATATTTCGTGGGCGAATTTAAACTTTCAGGCGAGATATAGTAGGCACAAAAATCATCCTTAGGTATATCTATGTAAGTTTCTACACAAAAAAAACAATACCAGTTCGTAGACCCTATACGAAAAAAAAATATTTCGGTACATAAATTCCTATACGGATAATAGTTATAAGGAATACAAATGTTCTTATTACTTTATTCAGACTCAGGACTAAAAGCCTTAGTTGGTGTTATTAAAATTTGTGTATTTTGTGTTTTGGAAAAAAATCTGATCCAATTTTCAACTGAATCTCATTCATAATATACATTATTAGATATTATATAATAATGTTTAGTCATCTACATATTGTAATGTGATAATAATATATATTATGATAATGATAATAATAATATAACTTAAATTGTATGTGGCTTATTACGAAAGCTCGAACTTTCAACATAGTCATACTTATTTGCTTTAAGTTGAATTCTATAATAATATTTTGTTGTTTATACATGTAATTTTGTTTACTCAGATTATTTTTTGAGGTCTATTGGTATTTGATATTCTTATTTTAATATATATATAAATATTTACTTTGGTTATTGTATGTAGTATGGAACATTTTCAAAATTTCTATTATTTTGAATATATTAGGACAATGATACAGATTTGAGTTGAATTCGGAGTAAAAACGTTCACAAGCATTTGTAGTAAGACTTCTACAAGAATTAGCACTAGCCAGACTAGCCAAATACAAAGGAGGAAAGAACTGTATTTTTCTCCCTGTCATTTGTCACTAAATAAACGCAAAGTTCGTTTATATTTTTACTATGTAACTTTTAAGCCATGAAACGTGTACTTTTGTTCATGTAGGAACTTACGTACCGGTATATTTTTTCTTATAGGGATTTACGTAACAGTATATTTATTTTCGTATTGGAACTTACATGTGTCAACGTCTACTAGCTTTGAATCGTGTGGAAACTTACCATCTCACTGTTAAAAATAAAACGCGTTTTATGAGCAATAATAAATAAGCCTACCTTCCGGAACTTTGTTTGCTTTTCGTGAACGCGTTCGATAGGGTAGTTCATTGAGTTTAGAAAATTATTATTATTATTTCTCGTATGATGTACGTTATGTTATATAAATATATTATTATTATGTACCTATATTATCGAAACGGTGATATTCATAGAATATTTATTATTTGCATAGAGGTTTGTTTATATGGACCGATTACCCGTATTACCCCCTCTCTCACTAACTCTCAACCACCCGATCTCCTCTGCAAAGCTATATCGCCCTCATCTCTGTATGTCCCTTCTTGTTTACTCTTCCACGGGTGTTTTCCTTGCTGGACGTATATACGCACTGCTACATTCCCCTAAAACTTTTAATCCTCCCTTACCAGTGATCCCGGTGGTATCTGATTTATATGTACATAACACTCGCATTACGATGATAATAACTGCAGTATATAATACACGTGAACTTCAGGACCTCGATAAGACCCCCGTTGTGGTCGACAAGAAACGTCTTAATACGTCTGCGAGATAGTGTTAATAAAGAAACAAATATTTTATACACATAAATAAATAAATAAAAGTCGAGTCTGGAGTATTATCATATTTGCAATGCATGACCGATTTGGAATTGAAAATTCATTGTCAGGTACATAAAAAGTTGATAAAATCGCGACTGTATATTATCATTCGCACGTTTACCCACACTACAAATAATATAAACTTGTATATCGATGACGGTTGGAGCAGTACAGAAGCTGTGAAAGAGATTAATACAAGTGCCCGTGCGGGAATACCAGTGAGTTTAAGAACGTGTAGGAATGTGCTTTTGGCCGTGCGATCCAGTGCCACGACCCTCGGCCGCCCCGTGCCTCCGACAGAACGGCAAGATGCTTACACGCATGTATCATGTGATGCCCGCGTTTAGCAGGCATTCGGTGAACGCCCTTGCGAAGAATCGAATCGAAGCCTCCGTCGTTGCGTTTTAATCCGCCTCGTATAATATTTTCAAGACGAATATTATTCGAAGTTTATCAATTTGAAATCGTTCTTAAAGATTAAAATGGTTTGAAAAAAAATCTCTATTTCATTCATAATGAAATATTAGCTTATATATATATACATATATGTATATTTTTTTTTGTTAAAGATAAATTTACTATCCGTACAATAACATAAACATTTAGTAAATATTATGACCTAAAACAATTTTCAAAGTGTGTTAATATTAAAATTAATTCCTTTCTAATCAGTGTTGCTACTGTAATCGATTTAGAATTGTTTTTTCCAAGAAATAATAAATTTGATAGGTAAGTAGTCAATATGGTGATACCCCAGTTCTCCCAGAGCATAGAATATAATATTCCCCAAAATAACTTACAAAAAAGTAAAAAAAAAAAACGCCAAACTCAAAATAATAACTATTATATTCTTGCAACGAAAAGAAAATCTGTCCAAAAAATGCACTGATATCAACATTATCCGAGTTTTTAATTTACGAGATACTTCAACCATTTTCCTACACTTTTCTTGTTTCTTCTTAATTAAAAATATTATCTTTGTACCAGTTTATTTTTCAATATCACTATCCAATACTTGGCGGCTGATTTTAATATTGATGTTTACCTAATATGTGTATTTTAGATAGTTAAATGTATATATCAACCGCTAAGTATTGGATAGTGATATTGAAACAAAACTGGTATAAAGGTAATATTTATAAATAAGGAGAAACAAGAGAAGTTTATGAAAATGGTTGAAATACCTCGTAAACAAAAAGCTTGGATAATGTTGATATCAATGTATTTTTTGGACAGGTTTTTTTTTTCGTTGCAAGAATATAATAATAGCATTTATATAATAATTATATTAAAATAAATAAATAAATATAATAAAAAAAAAAAATTTGTTCTCCATATGAATTGTCTTGTTTAATTTTTTTTTTTTTGCAATTTAATAACAATTATTATTAAAACGAAAAATCGAACATTTTCCTAATTAATTGCATTAAAAATTAAAGATATCATTTACGGAGATTTAAGACGGAAAAAAAATTAAATTCAAAATATTCTCCCTGCATCTTTAATGACGTTGGAGCTAATTACCAAAAACATAATTTAAGTCAGTCAGTCAAAGAATTTAAACTTTTTATCATACAGTGTTTATATTTTGTTTTTAAATTTTAGTTATTCTGAAAAACTTGATGCCTTAACCATGTTTGAGAAATAATAGAGAATAGAGATAACAATATATTCCTGCACGGATACAACACAGAAAAAAATTACAGAATAATACTATAAGACAATTTGAAATGAATATAATATATTATTAAATAATGCATTACAAAATAAACAATTTTATTTCAATATAAAATTTATTTTTCAGGAATAAATAATTTATTTTATTTTTAATAATACATGTGAAAGCTAACCATCATAATAGATTAAAATTTGATTATAAAGATTTATCATACTACAAAAGATAAACGAATAATCATACATTGAAATGCGCCACTTTGACTCATACATTTAATTTTTCGTATTAATTTTTGTATCATTAAACGTTACAACTACTTTACCCCTGATATGTCCATTCTTCACTTTCTTGAACGCGTCCTTCATGTCTGCGAATTCAAAAACACTGTCAATGGGAACAACGAGTTTTTTTTCTTCGGCTAATTGTGCTAATTCTTTAATACCACTCTCTAGAGGCATGAAAGTACCCCATCTGATCGAAGAACCTTTGAATACTGCTCCAGACACAATGTTTGGTACCACTAGATCATATGCATTTTTTAACATTCCAGCTATCATGCCATATGAGTCTGTGTTGTGCAAGATCGGGCTTCGTAGAGTTATGAACCCAGAAAATGACCAACATTTTAACAAAGGCATATATTTATTGATGCTGTCATAAGGAATTCCTGCTGCATCTAGGATTAAATCGTACCTACATGAAAGCAATACAAATATATTATTTTAATAACGTTTTTTGTCTCCTAGTCCCATCAATAACAACAAATTAATATACAATGTCTAATCGGTGTTGTATAACTCCGTTGCAAGTATTTTATTTTATCGGAAGCACACTTAAACATCTTAATATTTTTATAGAAGAGAGAATATATTTATTTTTTAATCTTATTTTTTAATAGTTGGCTGGTAATGAGATAATTGTAATTGTAATTGAAATTGTAATGAGATAAATCAATTTTGATAATAAATAAAAATAAAAATAAATCTCTTTCAATCAAATTTTTCTAATATCCACAAGAATTGTTTTTATTATTTAAATTTAACGTTTTTGTTCACTTACTTTCCAAATTGTTCTATCTGTTTATGTGCATCTTCAGTGGTGTAATCTATGACATTATCTGGTCCAAGTCCTTTAACTAAATTTATGGCATTTGTACTACAAGTAGTAGTTACCTATCAACAATTACAAGAAAACATAGATTAATCAATAATACATATTTCAATATTGATTTTTTGTTTAAAATGTTATTTTTAAATATAGTGAGCATTTTCAACATATTTATTTAAAAGGGTAAATCAAAACATTACAAATTATATAGGGAGTTGTTTCATCCTATTTCGTTACACTTTGTAGAATATAGTAAATAAACTAGATATATTGATATACAATTATGCAACAACTAATACGTGCATTTTTAATCTATGTAAAATATTTTCAAATTATAGTAAATTTCTGAGTACACTTATTTACACTTAATTATTTTAATTACTAATGTAATATAAAAGAATAAATTAATATTAAAATTAGAATATTATTAGGGTGACCACCATGTGGTGAATTCTGATGAAACTAATGCGTTGTACATTTTATTTTATTTTAATTAAAATATTTATGATTTTTAATATAACATTTTTAAAAAAAAATGTATAAATAAATGTTATTATAAATTAAATATAAACTTATGTTTTGCATGCGTTTTAATTTTTGTAGTAGTAGTAGTTATAAGCTTATATATATATTTGAATATAGAAACTATAAACATGCATTGTGTCTACGTATATAATTTTAATTTTAGTATATTCTAGAATAGTTAGTATAACTCTCCTCAAAAATATTTTAAATGACTTAGTTGATATTGTACAAGAACCACGTTTTAATAATTTTGATATGTAATAATATATTAGTGATGTTACGATCATTTTGAAGCTCAGTACTGAGATTTAAAAAAAAAAAATGATCGGTTGGGTTCGGGTTCATACCATTAATCGATAGTTCGGTTCGGTTCAACCCTAATAATCAAGGTTCATAACATCACTAATTAATATATAACTTTCATCAAAAAATACATAACCAGTATTAATAATTTAGTTTCTTATTGATAGTGTAACTAATTTTTAGGTAAGCAATGTTTGTTATTTATCGTTTTTTGCCATAATTACCTTTCACTGTTACATTCAAATCAGTAGATTATTTTTTAGTATTTTTCAGAGGTCTGAGTGCACTGCTAAAAAAATGTGCAAATATGTCTCTTTTTTACTACATCCACTTAAAGAATATTGTACACATAACTTTGAACTTTTGAAACAAAAAAAACCTTCAACATAATTATATTTATTTAACTCACTGTCATTGCACTTACTAAAAATTTAATTAACTTCATTTTATATTAATATGCATACATTTGGACGATGGTAATGGGATGTGAAAACGGTACTTTATTTTTAAATATTTGATAGAAATAAGTTTGTTTAAAATATTTCAAGAAGAATTTTTTTTTTTAATAGGATTATTAAAATCATTATTAAGTGATCAACAATAATGTATATTATTTACTAAATCCTATGTTTTTATTCATGTTAATGATTTCTTAAAATATTAAATTAAGAAATTTATTATTTTACCTACGTGTAATTGAATGTTAATTAATATTTACATAACGTAAAAGTTACTGCGATAAACTTACATACTGAATGACACGTTATATGTCAACAAAATGTAATTATAATGTCCTGTTTGTTATTAACCATTTTAATTGTTCATTTTCACGTTTTATGAAATATCTTAAAAACCATAACTGAACTTGACCAAAAATTGCATGCCTCAACAAACTAAAGAATATTATATTACATTTAAAAAATACACTGAAATCTAAACTATAATTATAATATATAGCGTATCGCACTAAAATAATAATCGAGACAAAACTCTTAAAATAATTAATAATCTAAAATTTAAGCTAACAACTTAAATTGTTATACTAATACTCGCAAGCTAAATTAAAAGGTCAACATAATGTTGAATTAATATAATAAATTCAAACTAAATACTAACAATTATATAATAATAATATGAATATAAGTAAAACGAAAGATTAATAATTTCAAAGTTTAGTCTATATGAAATAATACATTATATTTTTAAGTTAAAACAGTATTACTCTGGGATTGCTATAAGATATAATAAATATAAAGTTTATAATATTACAATTCATAGTTTTCAATGGAGATTGCTATCAATATTTTATTTTTGTGTTATCAGTTTTTATGTTGCTATAAATAGTAAAGCTACCAAAATTATACAATGTGCAAAAAAATATTCATTTTTTCACATTCCTTGTACAATTTTTAAAAATAATTATAAAATTTAAAACAAAAATAAGACAATAACAAAAAAATAACAAGAAATATATACAAATTAGTATTTTTGTTTATTTCAACAAAGATTCGATGATACAAAAATACATTATACATTATATTATTATATTATATATTATATTATTCGTGGTCTCCTAAGTATATGAAAAAAATTGAATTTACTTTTGAGGCCCTATATAATCTAAAATGAAAGTATATTATCGCTAAAATAGATGATATATCAAAAATAACAAAAATGGAATCACCTATACGGTACACCGAAACAACATATTATTTTAGATTAATTTTGTAACGTAAGTTACAGTAATTATTAATTAAATATATTTATTTCAAATCAAATCAATGTTATACTTATTTAATTACCTTTTCTTTAAACAAAAAAACAATTTCATTATAAATTAACATTCAACGAGTTTCAATATTTTATTGAAATGTAAATTAGTTCTACTTACAGTAATAAATAATTCATAATCATGTTTAATTTAGATATTTTCTAATAATAATTAACTAGTATTTTGTCATATATTATCATATAGAATTTAGACCATAATCATATTATACGATACTCATAATAAATTTGGCGATTCGATTATTTCGCACAAACAATTTTTACATCGTTTAATTAGTTTAATTGATAAATATTTGATAAATTCACCAAAAATTAGTCAAATGTCGAATAATTGGGATTATAAATCATATAATATTACATTCGAATTTTCTTAATTGTAATATTAGAAAAAACGGTTCAGAAAGTTTACTAATTGTGCTGATATACAGAACTGTATAAAAATATAACACTTAAGGACGATTGTATAGAGGAAATCCATTAATCAGACACATACAATGATTAAAATGACACAAAAAAATTGTGGATTCGATCATTACTCTAGAAAAGTATAAACTAATAGTACAATTGGAATCAACTGTAAGATGTTTAGAATACAAAAGTGTATACTCGCCAAGGACAAATTACATTATAATATACGTTAATATTTAAGTTTTGATTCTTTATCCTTGAATATATTTTTTCGAACAGCCCATTTACAATGTTAATACATGGTTTCATATAACTACATGCATATAATTATACTCACTAGTATAATAATTATAGTAATAACTGCAGTAAACAAAATATGTTTTCATATTCTTAAACACAAGTTACTAAAGGAATTGATAAAATCGAATAATTATTGTTGAGCTATAAACAATTATACGATTGAAATTAGATTACAATTGGATGCTAATAATAATTATGAATATTTGGTTCCAACTAAAATTCCAAATTATTATTATTTATAAATATAATATTTTACACAATTGGTGCGTAATTATTACGTGAGAATAATTGGTTAAACTATGATAAGTTTAATTTAATGAGATCGAAATTAAAGTTGTTTTCAATGGTATAGCCATGCATTACGTAACCTTAGGTATTTACTTGTACGTAAACGTTTCCATGATAAAAATACATTTGACCCCAATGAATTTTTTTTTCAATTTTTTCCATAGTAATATTGTTTTGTTTTATTTTTATTGTTATTTACTGATAATTCCTTATGTAACGCATGTTTTTTTATTTGTTTTAAAATACTTAAAAATATATACGGAATACATACGAATATTATTTACTTTTAAGTGGTTATTCAATTATTTCCTGTAATTAAAATAATTAGTTCATATACCTTGTACATATTGGGAATTTTATATCTTCTATATATCTTTTACAATATTGCAATCATTCAGATCTAAATATATATAATTATAGTGGATATAATGTATTTTTTTCAATTGTAACTTAATGTCTTATTTATAATATGTTACTTTATTGAATATTAAAATTTAAACTGTAAATAAAAATCAAGTCACGGAAAAATAATAATTAAATTCGTTTTGAATATTAATGACGTCTCGTTAAACATTATCCATGATAATCGTAACAATATCATATTTATAAAAAAAGAGTGAAATAGTAATTAAATCCATTGCTGTGGTTTAAAAACATTTTGATTTTAATAAAGAAAAGTTTAAAAACATAACTACGCGAATTTAAATGAGTACCGATAACTTTTTTCTATTTCAGTAAAACGATACAAATTAGACTAAAAATTGTAAAAAGAAATGATGTTCTTTCGACTTTGATGAGATTTCAGTATGTTTCTCAATAGCTTGATGGCACGGCAATAACCTTGTATAAATTATATTATATGATGAGGCAAAATATAGTATGGAAGTTAATAATAAAATATTTGAAAAATAACTAAAATAAAAAAACTCTAAATACATAACAGCGATCAGACCTACGATGAATCTTCTTATAAAAACGTTTTTGAGAATCTTTGAATTAATTCAACCCTATTTAGGTGTATAAAGTAGGAAGTTTACAAGTTGTATGTATCATCTTTCTACATTACCTTAGCGCCCCAAGACTTCAATATTTGTATGGCACAATTTCCAACACCACCAGATCCACCGAGTACCAACACGTTTTTACCGGAAGCGTTCAAAACATACAATCCTCCGGAAACTTTTAAAGCGCACCAAGCAGTCAAACCCGTGTACAACAAGCTTGACGCTTCCTCGTCGGACATGTGTTTGGGTTTTTTGATCACCTGAACAATCGCAAAATCATTAAAAGTCGTCAAGTCCATTCGTTATTCATAGTTAAGTGGATATCTTTGCACAATACTTGAGCAGCAGGAGCAACGACAAGCTCGGCGTGACAGCCCTGTTGGTAAGGAGCTACGACGCCCATGACGGAGTCTCCCACGGTGAAGTCCACGGCCGGCACGTCGATTCCCGTAGCAACGACTTCGCCGGAAAAATCCCGTCCTAAAGTTAACGGGAACTCGACCGGCCTGCATAGGGACATATTTTTTGCTTGTCGAATCCTGCCCAACAGCACTTGACCGTAACCCTCTACGCAGACACACACACACACACACACACACACATATATATATATATATATATATATATTATACACAGAATAAGTATACATATATTTATACAGACTATATACATACGACATGGAACAGAACGATTGCAAATATTTTTTCGTTTTATACTTTTATTCCCAACATAAAATAATATTTTTAAATGTTCATCCATTTCGGAGAATGCACTCAAAAAATAAATAAATAAATCAATCAATAAGTAATGCAAAAATATAAGCAATTTCTGTTCCATACGCACTAACCCGTATATAAATGAATACCCGAGTCAAAGATGTATTTTACTCTAGCCCTCTAAAATTCTATAAATCATAACATCTTATATTCTGAGATCTTCTATAATGATGATTTCTATAACAGAATTATATTCAATTTAAAAAAGAATAACGGATGATTTTGGGAAAACGTATTGTACTGATGCTGTGGCGCCCACAGGTTTTCCATGAACCAGTGCAATTATAATTATAGGGCCCCCAAATGTATTTTGGTCTACATCCATAGATCCTATTTGTTTGATTAAAATAATTTTTTTTTCCAGATGCATTTTCAAATGTATTTTTATTTTAAAAAAATGTCAAAATCTTCACCGGTTGGTATTGTCCAAGTATCTAAAGATCTAGATGAATAGTTATGCATTTATAGTATTTACTCCAGAAACCAGAGTGGTTGTAGGCCCCGGGACCCACGAGAAATCAGTGCAATTGCACCTCTTGGTGCCTTACGTGGGCGCCACTGTACTGATGAGTTTTATGATAAAACAAGGAGTTATAACTGTTGACGAAAGATATACTTAATGTAGGTGTGTTTTTGAACTTTGAAACGGAGTAATTGGCTAAAACTACAATGTTAATGGATTGGTTTTTTTTTTCAGATGAATTATTTTCCATCGGTATTTCCTAAGCCGACGGGAAAATCAAATACCAGCGAATAAAGCGGGGAGAGGGAAAAAACTCCGTTTGCTGAAACGAAAGCATAGCGGTCACGATTCGGAACGGAAATTGTGTACTCCAACGCGACAACTTTGGGACCCGCGGACGAGGAGTGCAGTATAACCGAAAGGGAATATGAATACCTAATAATAAATACATAATATTAGCGACACACTCACCGGCCATGAGGACGTCTATGGGGTTGACGGAAGACGCTCTGACGCGCACCAGGACATCCTTGGGTCCAACCGTGGCCGCGGGCGAACCGACGTCGGCGTTCAGCTTCGCCGAGTTTTCGAACGGGCCGTACGAATCGACCTGCCAGGCGACCATTCGCGCGGCGGGCCCGTTGGCGGTCTCGGACATCGTAGTCCACGTACGTGGGAACTGCGCACGGCCGGTACTAACCTAAACGTGAACGTAACGTTAACGCAAAATGCCCACTATACGAGGACGGTGCCGCGTGAACGATTGCGGGCCGACCAACGAGTTGAACAGCAACACGGTATCGCGTGCGTTGAGGTTTCGATTGCGTCTGAACAGGTCGTGAAAGCGTTACAGAATGACATACGGCGCGGGCTGCCCAACGGTAATTACAATTTCAGAAAACTGTTATTGCCGAACAGGTACGAGCGGTGTAAGATTACCGGCTCCGGAAGGTAACGGAGTCGCGAGTGCATAAATATAGACACTGTTATACGATTATTATGTCCACGGTACGCAGTACGTTTATCGTGCGAATGTCAAGCGCGCCCGCGCGCCGAAAATTGTAATTATAAATCTGATATCAACGGTTTGCACGCGTCTACGATAATGCAGTCGTATCGTAGGTAAAGATTTATTACTTAGGTACTTGTCAGGTCTCGCGAATAATATGATACCAAAACCAAAGGGTTAACGACGTTTATGTAAAATTATTTTAGAACAATGTACGTCGTTAATAGTCCAGCTCGAAGGGTTTAGCCACCAGTACATTGAAATTACGTAGGAAAAATGCTTGATAAAAATGTGAAAATCGCGCCCGAACGCTTAAAATTAAACATGGAGGTTGCATGGATATCCCATGTATATATATATATTGAAGTGTTTCACTCTGTATACTGTAAAAATGCGGCTGATTTATAAACTGGCTGTATACCTACATATGATCGATGGATACTTTTTTCCATAGTTTTCCGTGAACAATATAAATTATGATAAAATGAATTTTCATCCCTATGCATTGCCGGGCATTTACGTCATTCCTCGCGTTGAACATTTTCACTTACTCCTTTCACTCAATGTAACTGTTTTTTGTTGAAACTCTAATTATAAATAAGACTATCTAAATAATTTATAAAATTTATATCCTTCTGTACTACCTATGTGATACGATGACTAACATAAAAGTCTCGAATGAAAAAACCCAAAATATAAATATTTTAACGCAGTTTATATACGAGTAAAAATTGCATAAAGCTATAATCCGGATTATATATGAACATAGAAATACGCCAAAATCTTAATTAATATTTAAAATTTTTTGTATTTGTTTTGTTCATAATATAAACGAGGAAATGCCATTTTTATTTAATATGAATATTGAAAATAATAAGCTCGCATAATATTTGATAAATTCCTAATAATAATAATCATAATAAAATTAAATAAACACAACAATTATGAATAAATATGAAAACTTATTCTTGAAACAAATAAAAATTAATTAAATGTATTAAGTAGAATGAAGGAGATTCATTTTCATTTTAAGATGGGAAACAGAGAATTATTTTTGATGGGGGGGAGGAGGGACCTGAGTATCAATTATTTGTAAAATTAGTGAATTGGAGGTTGTGAAAAGAATTTTGAAGAATTAGTGCAGTATATATAAATACAATAATCAAAGATATTTATTTATTTAAATTCAACATAGTAAAGAGAAAATAATTTTTAATATTATTCAAGTAAACTTAACCTTGTGTATGTAATACTAGTTTGTTCATAATTTGAAATGGTTTCACGGTGACATTCCTAAATATATTAAAAAGCCTAATTATAGTCTATATTATATTAAATAATCTAACCTAAGGGTTCCATAGATCAACCTCAAGGGTTTCGCAAGGTGAATATTGAGTGTAGTAATTTGAATAAAAAATAATCATGAACTATCTTTAAAACATTACTTGTAATATTTATTAGTTTTTCAATAAACAATTGAAAAACTGAGGTTAATTGGAATAACATATATTCAGTGGCGTACATTCAATCTTGCTTTGTGGGAGAGGGGGGGTTAAAAAAATATAATCGTTATATTTCAATCTTTAAATATGATAAATAACTGCTATAAATAGATATTATATTATACAACTTTTTTACCAATTTACAGTTTACTTTTACATTACAGTAAATTAATAGCTATCGGAATATAAAAACAGCATAGTTTTCAAATACCTATCAATATAATTATTTAATTATCATAATATTTGTATAGTTTTATATTTTAAGTTCAAAGCGTAATAATGAAACTACGAATGTATTACACGTCATCAATAATAAAACAAGTTCTTTTTGCACTGGGGGGGTTTGAGCCCGGGAACCCTCTCCCTCGTATGTACGCCACTGCATACATTGGACTTTTACGAAACACAATTTATTTCCTAACGGTTCCGTGGTCGTAAAAGTTTGAAACCCGCTATATTAGGTTAACTATAAATAAAGATCTGAAAGAAAAGAACCAGCTGTTAAATTAGTTATATATTTGGGTTAATAAAATAATATAGATATTCTAATAGAATAAACAAGGGAAAGTAAACTCAAAACACTCAATATTATAATTAATCAGATTATAAATAAACATATAATTGTCAGCCAACTCACATCTTATCGTTGTTACATTATATTGATATTATAGTACGATTCAATTATTTCTGTTTTTAAAAATCACTGCACTTATTTAAAATGAACATTTGTACACATATGTAGGTATTTAAACAAATATTCATATTTTAAACAACAATAGCAATGACTAATGATATATGTTTTATTAATACTTATTTAAGATACAAAAAATTCACCTTGAAAACGATTTTATAATTTCAAAAAATATAATAATATACTACTTGCTTGTACATAGTATGTTGCATATGTTACTTGTAATATTATACTTGCTTAATAAGCAATGCTTATATTATTATGATTAAACGAGATTTTTTTCTTTAACATTTCAAAACAAAAAATTGAACCAATAGTTAATTATGCATATTTACCAATTTTTAGTATAATTAAGAAGAAAAGTCGATAAATTTTTCATCTAATAAGCAAATAGTTATAAAAAATTTTATAATCGATATTGTCCAAGAAATTGAGGAATATTAGGACAAAGAAATGTTCAAAATATTAAGTTTGAAAATGTTGTGCGTATTAAATATAAGAGTGGATATTTTTACTAGATTATTCTTAAAAGAGAATTTTTCATTTCATAATAGTAGGTATAGATTTATTATCGGCTCTAATGCAAGTCGGCGGTCGATTGAAAAACTAACATGAAAGTTAATGGCTCATTTAGTAGAAATGTATATTTAAAATAATAAAATTGTTTCGTACTTCAATTTTTTTCCTAAAGAAAAAAAAGTACCTATAAACGTATTTATTTAATTCTATTTAATTTTTTTATTCGCATCGTTCCTAAACATTAAATCTCAATGTAGTAACCTTTGAAAACATTTCACAATATCAGATGGTTTTGTGTACAATACATATAAGTACTTAATATCTCATATCTGTACAGTACTACATAGACCTACATAGTAAAGGTACCAGGAAAACCCCAAAAAGGGGGCAACACTCCTATCTGACCATCATCTCACCCTATATAGATAATCACCACGTAACACCAGGGTTGGACTAGGCCACCGGGGCACCGGGGCATGCCCCGGTGGGCTGCTGTAATTTTGGTTAAATAAAATTACTTAGATTTTTTTGTTTTTAATTTAATGCGTCTATCTTCTATTCGTAAAATAAAATAAAAAATATCGTCTTGTAACATGACATTACTAATGGATGCGGTGACACAGGATTAGGTAACTCGGAATTTTGAAAATTTAACATTTTTAATGTCACGATAGGGCAATTGATAACAATGATATCATCAGAATATTTATAAATAGAAAAATTGTAGGAAATTTGAATACAAAAGATGTGTACAATATGTTAATCATACGAAGTACCGTTCGCGTTTGTTCAAACAATTATTAAAATAAAATGTTGGTATGGGTTATGGTCTAACGTTTTAAGCTTAACAACTAAAGTGATATTTAAAAGAAGAAAAAAAGAAACTGATTTTTCCATGTATTTAAAATTAAAAACTGACGTAAAATTTTTAAACATATTTATAAAATCTGAAATATTCCGATTGTTTTGAATCATCAAGACATGAAAATACGAATTAGTTAAATATAAAATTACGTAGATACGCGTTTTTTCATTTTAATGAATAGATGCAAAGAAATTTATCGTAAAAATAGAAAAAAAAAATTCTAACAATATACAATCACAGGTTATGTACCAACATAATTTATAACACAACGTGAAAATTATACAATTAATATTACATTAAATATAAATTCATTATTCAAAATAAATAGTTCAAATGGATTAAACTCACCTAAATACCTCAACTATATTTTAATATAAAAATATAATTACAATAAAAGTACAGTTTTGTATTTTAAAATATGAAAAATAACAGCAGTAATAAACTGGTAAGAATAAAAAACTAAATGTATGGTGAAATTTTATAATAATAAACGTATTTATCAGTATTATTTTAAAAGTCAACAAAACGGCTGTAATCAGTGACGTTGAAAAATAAGTGACCTACCACAGTTAAAAATATATAACACTTCATATCGTCGGCTACGGACGAAAACCTCGTTAGTCACTTTTATCAAATTGTTCAAGAACAGCAAAAAACTGTGACGTGTATTAATAATTGACAATTATATATTATTTTCACTTTAATTTTATTTTGTACTAATTATCTACTATGTATCTGTAAGATCTTGACTTACGAGTTTTTGAATCTAAATTAATTTGACTTAAGAGTTTTTGGTGAAATTTCAAATTATAATAAAATTTAACTTAAAATTCAACTTAATTTGTTTTTTTATTATACAGTTAATTAACATTTTATTAAAGAACTACAAATTATGAGAAAAATTAAAACTATTAGGAAATGTTTTACAAATTAATTGAAATAATATGTGCTTTTATAAGACTAATACAATAACAATTTTAAATAATAATAAATAAGTTAATATTTAAAAATTAAAATAGATCATTTCTTGATTTAATAAAAATATTTAAAAACAATTTAATAATAATTAAATTAATCAACTGATAAAATAAAAATAAAAGAGTTTGATTAATATTCAAAAACAATTAAATAAATCATCTTGATTTAATAAAAAAATAAATTTTAAAACCTTTAAATAATAATTAAATTAATCAACTTGATAAAATAAAAAAATATATATTTATTTTATATTAATAAATAGATCATTTATTTTTATTTCTTGTATAACGTAAATTATCATAAAATTGCCAAGTATGTTTTGGTAAGACTTGTTTTAGTTCTTGGAGGTGTATAAATTTTTCTTCTTTAATTTTTATTTCCTCTAATCAATCTTTACATAAATAAAATAGCCTTATCT